ATAATAAATAATTATACATATATATGTATATACACGTTATAAGTATTTCTATTGAATGTCTTTCACGTGTGTTAAATTTCACGCTTTTTTAACGCCAAAGGTTCAGCAGTCGATTTTCACACTGGTGATTGAAATGAAATTTATAAGAACATGTCTCGTTGAAATAGGTAATCGAACGGCTTGATTTCCTTCTTTGCAAGTCAAATAGTCGCCTTTGCTTTGCGAATTATTCATATTGCCTTTTTTAATCACGATCCAGTTAAATGTTCTACTTCTTAATGAATTGCGTCATTTCGAGACAGAGATCAATACCGATATGTTGAATATTCTTTCTATTTAACTGGACCTCGTGATTTTCGTATTTTTATATATTCTATTGCATTTTTAAAAATAGATCTTTTTTATCTTTTTATATTATTAAAATACCATCTCAGTAGATATTACCGCATCTTATGATGTTATAAATTATTTTGTATCACTGCTGGCGTTCCCTTCGATAGTATACCTTTATAATTCGCTATAATAGGACAACATTGACTCCAATACGATAACAACTCACGTTCGAGAAGTGAAGCTATTATTAAACTTCGTTCGTCCGTTCCAGAATTTAGATCCAATTACGGTAAAAGCGTATCGCGCGCTAACGCCGGCTGCCACCACCCTACCGCGGTAATCTTAAAATCACATAAAACATTCAGAAGACCCGTCGAGGAAATAGTCCAGGAAACGTAGTTCCGAAAGTCATTGAATTATGAAGTGGGGACAATGGATTACAGGAGAAGGTTGGTTTCCGCGCCGGCTGCGGGTCGGACGAGAGACGCGAAACTTGCAAATCAGTTCGGGCGGGACATTCCGTTTTAATGCGTACCTTCTCTCGTGCACTCTCGAGAACGCGCGAGCGAAACTTAAATAATCACTTCAAGGGACACTCACGTTTCTCCGGTCGGCCGTGACAATGTCTTCAGCCGAGACGTCGGGAAACGATGATAATATAAGTTTGATCTCGCGCTCGAGCGGAATACTCAACACAGAAAGCGGAATGCTTTCTGTCGAATTTTTCGTCCAAATCGGGATTCTGATCAGAGGAGTCCTCGCCAGCAATTCTCCGTCCGACAATCTCGGAAAGTTCTACTCGGACTTTGTGATCTTTCCCCGGTCGACTAAACGTGTGGTAGATCCTGAATTTCGGCATGTCGCGTCGTTCATTTTGGAATGCGCAGTTTCCGTAGTTTTCACGATTTTATTGGCACTCCAGGAGGAGCGCTTAAAAAGTTGTAGATATATGTTTTGGAAAGAAATGATTGTAAAAAATGTAGATTTAGTATAAATGAGCAAACACTATGCGGAGTTTTATATAACTAATTTATACAAACTCTTAAAAGAAATCAAGCGACTATACTTCCGCCTGGATGACTTCCAAATTTTTTGCTTTCTTTTGCGCTTTTGTTCGTGCGTGAAAAATAGTAAATTTTTCTCTCAAAACATTTCTGGCAATGCTGTGATCGAGCATTCGGCCGAAATAATTTTCCGCTTCCGAAGAAAATATTTCGGATTTCCCAGCGACATGTGTCTTGTATTGCTATTCTTCTTCGAAATTAATCTTACTTTTACCTCCTTTTGCCGAAAAAATTCCATCTTCCATTGAAAATGTTTCATTTGTTATTCATAGATCGGCAGAAATTCCTTCTCAAAGGGAAAAGGTATTCGACTGCATTTTTGCAAATTCTTTGATGTCAATTCTTCGTAGTTTCGATCGATATAAAATTTGCCTTGTCCAAGAAGATACATTGAATTTTAGTTTAGAGAAATTCTCACTTTGTCGGCGGCGGCGGTTTTCCGCGGATTTGCATCTTTCGGTCGAAAACGCTAAATTCCTCTTAGGGCGAATCTCACGTTGAATCCGTGAAGAAATCCGTTCAATCTGTTGCATGGCATGACCTATGACTTTCCACGATTTATTTCGTGCTCTTTCTCACAACCCAAATCGAGATTTCCTTCCCTCTCGTGCCTGTCTCATATAACTTGATGAAAGTTTAAGTCTTTCTTTAAATGATTTCACAATTCGCTCACTTTTCACAGATTAAACTTATTGTTAAAAAAAATTATTGATTTTTAAACTGCAATAATTTTTAATAAATTTTCAACACGTAATTGTTTGATAAAGAAGTCGATAAAGCTCCAAATGAAGTAAAACTGCAGAATTTTTTTGTGTATAATAAAGAATAAACATTCGTTTGGCTGAACGTTTTTCCGACTATTCGTGCGATTACTCATGGATTTTTTTCCAACAAAAAATAGATAGGAATGTTTCGGGATGTGACGTTTTATTATTTTTCCGATATCGTATGCAACGCTTTATGTGTTGTCTTGCGGAAACGTGTATATGAGAATTTTTCTAATTGCCGTAACGTGCCAAATATTAGTTTTAGTTGTATTTACCTTTCACGTCAAACCGCGAGCACATGGAAAATTTGGACGATATATATATGTTATTATTGCTTGCGGTTACGTCCGATATTTTTCAAATATTCATTTCAGCGCTCAATCAGTGTTTTTAGCAGTTTCCTCCACATTTATCAATAACATTTAAATTAACGTTACGGTTTTTTCTGCGTAAAAGCATACGCTTTTTATAAATAAAACTGCGTACGATATATTTTATAAATTTAGATCAATCCGAATCTGCCATCAATCAGTTAAAATTGAACGTATATAATATTCAGGTTAAGAAATAATGTTATTGATAGCTCAATGAATAAATACGAACAGCGTTGCACATGTAATAATAAAATTGTCAATTACTTTTTAATGTACGCTCGCATCAAATTAGCCTTGCGCGTGAAAGCAAGGGTAACAAGATTCGCGCCTGGCCAAAGATTTCCGGAGGCGACTCTGAAAATCCTTGCCAGAGCATCACCTCCGTGCCGGAAGGTTGATCCTTTGCGGTCAACCCGAGCGTGCATTTTCCAGCTTGAAACATAACAAGAAAACAGAGTGCGCGCGCGACGGCGCGTTTTCCGCCGGTTTGCCAGATGCTTTTTCATAATGGGATCAACGTTAGCTGTAGGATTTAATTACGTGAATCTGCTGCCCGGAATAACTAGCGTCTTCGTTCAGCAAAAAAGGATCGAGGTAAAAAGTGGGAAGAGGATCGAGAGGAGAAATGATAGGATTCGTGCGATACAATTGATCCAATTCAATTACGAGACAGCCGCGTGCTGGCGCACAAGCTTACTAGTAGAAATCGATGTAATTGCACTCGTCCTCCGTGCTCGCTGGACTTGCCCGAAAATTGGATTTCTTGTCGCCGCAAATCCTCCAACAGCTCTCACGACATCGTCGTTTAGTCCACCGCATCTTTATATAATTATCCGTTTCTGCATTACCTTTGAGCTTCTGCAACATTTAGTTAGTAACACGTTCGCATAAAATCCCATCAGTAGAAACATTAACCATTTATAACTTTAATTGGAAAAAATTAAAATTTAACATCAGAACGCATACACATAATAATGAGCTGCATATAAGTATACTTGGAATTGTCAGATAATAATTAAACTATATAAAATGTCTTAAATTTTTCAAATTTAAATTTTATATTGTAATAAATCTTTATATAGTTTGTATAAATATAGTAACTGTGTGCAATGCCATAAGTTATTTTTAGTAGAATTTTATATATTTTTATTTTTAATAGAAACATAATGAAAAAATATTAGTATGTGTGTGCTTGAAACTAAAAAACTTTTAAGAAGAAGGATGAGATAAACAAATAGTTGAACAAATTTTGTTACATTCTTCTTCGAGATTCGATAAATATTCTTTAAAAAGCTACTTTCGCGAGTTTATGACAATGATTTGCGTGACTAAAGTGAGCAATAATGATTAATGAAGTTAGAGATTCCCTTGTTAGCAATAACGATTAATAAAGTTAGCGATTTCCTTGTGCGCAACAATCGATGATACTTTGATGTTAACTAATCAGTGTTCGTATCTTCGATCGCAAAGCGATATCAAATGATTTATAATTCCTTTCATCTCGTTCCACCTCCTTGACGTAACTACAAATCGCATATACATTGATACCAAACAATGATTCGCGAAAGCTGTTCGAACATCAAACACAGACGAGGCAGGGCCTCTAATGAAGCATCCTGCGGACTCAAGTATTCTATCGTATATTATCTTCGCATTATGAACACGCGATCGTTTGCGTTTACATTAGTTTATACGTTAGAATTGAAGACGAGCAGTCTTTAATCATGCATTTCTCCCATACATCTTTAATCTCTATATTATTTACTATCATTTGTCGTTATAACAATCGTATATTATTTACAATTAGTTTAACAGTTGTTGATGACATTTGTTTCACCAGTTGAAGAAGCACTCTTGATATCGTAATTACTATTACTCGTAATAACATTTAAAATAATTTAAAGTTTACTGGAAAAAATCTTGTGTATTTACTTGTTATTTAGATAGTCTTTTATTTCTGACGACTGCGAATATCTCTTTCTCTCTTTCTGCCCGCATAATTATTTTTCTGAAACTAACGAATCCACACTTCTCTATTGATCCACCATCGTGCAGGAGGGATTATATCCATCGCCGAACCCGTCTCATCAGAGCGTGGATCGCGCGTATCTTTACGCTTGCACGAGGATGCACACGCGACGCATCTCGTACATGACACAAGAAGAAGGACCCCTCGACAGGCAAACAGCCCCGAATCAAGCCTCGAGCTCTTTTGTCTCCAACCTCGCGAAAGAGAAATGTGAGCACTGTTACGTCACAGAAAAATGAGAGGAAACTGACGATAAAAGAGAAAGAATAAAAAAAGAGGAGAAATAGATGGTGAAAAATCGAGAGACGAGAGAGATATGAGGAAAAAGAACGAAATGTAAGAATGCGGATGTAAGGACTCAGCGGAATATCGGTAAAATCGGGAAGATATTGTCGACTGATCACGAGAGCGAGTCTCTCTTTCTGTCTTCCAGGCACGGCGGAGACAGACGCGGTACAAGCGCTCTTGGCCCGTTACCTTCAGCGTCGCCTTCAAGGCTCTCAGCTGTCGACGCCGCCGCCGCCGTCGGTCCTCTTCAGTAATGATCATCGAGCCCGCGTCCGACAGGCCACTCAGAGAGGTTCACCCAGCAACAGTCTTGTCTCGAGAAATGTCAGCGACAGTGATGGAGACCACCGTCCCGTCCCTGAGGATTACGACGATTACGAGGACGACCTCGAGGGCTACGAGGACAGCGAGAGGAGCAGAACCAGATTCGATCTCTTGGCGGGTAAATCGCGACTCACCTTGAACAGTAACTGCGACCGATAGGGAGAGAGGCTTATCGTTCCTTATGAGATACCTTTAATTGGAGATCGACGTTCTTCTGTTGCGTCCATTATCTCGTTTTCTTTCTCGAATGGCAAAAAAGATCTTGTTATATGTAATGGAATGCGGACCCAAAGAAAAAGAGAGAAAGAGAGAATGCTCTTGTGCTGATATGGGCATAGATCGTAATATCGGTGATAGGTTGTTTCTCAAAGATTTTGAGCAAGATAGAAAGATAGGAGAATACGCAATATTTTTACATAATTCTGGGATAAATACGATAATAGTTTTAGAAGTACCTGATCAATTTTTGCTCTATATTTCTCTGAACGTAGAATCAATCTAATTACATATATGTATATAGATGTCATATATCTATACATCTCAAAGCAGGTCCAAACTATCTATGTTTTAAGATAAAATAAATGATCTTAATTTTTGAAAATGACTTGAAGATTGGGTGATGTTTGAAACTAAATTATCATATTACTATGTGCTAATGCTAACACGTATTAGCATCATCTCATTCTGATGTCATAAGCAATTACAGTTTTGAAAAAAAGTCAATTATTATATCATTTACATACATATTCCACATAGCTTTATTATTAATGCATTACAGCAATTATAGTAAATTTTATTGCACATGCATCGAAAAAAAAATCTGAAATTTTGCTAGAGATACTTCTTTCTTTGTCTTGATTTGGTAATTTGTTTCTGTATATATTTTTTATCGTTTAAAATTAACATAAATATTTAAAACATATACTTAATAATTTAATAATATTAATTTATAATAATTTATTTTAATAAATAAAACTTTTCCTTGCAAAAGACAAGGGTAGGCATCCTATGATATTTTATGCAAACGGTGACGTTTGTAAAAAAGCACGTCAAAAATCAGACTTGGGCAAGTTTTGTTTCCCCTACAGCAGTGCAACAAAATTACCGTCAATCGACTGTAATGCGATGACAAAGGTTTAGGGAAGCGTGCATTGACGTCACGATGCGCTGCTTCTGTTCATCCTAGCTTTGAGTCGCACTGAACCGTAGTGAATCGTTCAGGATCGGGAATACATAGAACTGCATCGACAGCACGCTCTAAATCGCACGTGGTGTCGTGACACGGTTTTACGACCACCGACACGAATTCGATCCCATCGATTTTGATTTTTTAACGAATTAGCATAATTCCTGTAGTCTAGCTACTACCAACTGTACTAGAATAATATGATAATCAAATCATAACACAATAATTTTTAGATTTAATTTTAAAGGTATAATGAATGAGATCGCATTCAAAATTAGATTGGTAGTTCAAAAACGGATAAAAAAAACAATGCAACTAAAATAATTGTATTTTAATATTGAAACTAATTTTATTATTATTTTGATGAAAAATAACGATATCGAATATATGCAAAATCTATCTTCATGAATCTTTCATGTGCAATATGAAAATATATTTTTTAACGTAAAAGAAGATAACATTATTATGTGAAACATAATGGAACGTTTGAAAGCCCGAAACAACATTTTTCCTGTATATATGTCGGGAATTGTTAGGTAAGGGAATATAGGTCTGAAAATCCGGATGGGATTCGACGAGAAATAAGCAATACAGTACAGAGAAAATAGTGATGAAAGTTGGGCAAGTACGTAAAATCGAACGGGATCGACATAGGATAGTTTTACGTTGTTCCTATCGGTTTTCTGTTTCAAAGCTTTGACGCGGCTTTCGCAGTCACGACGCGCGGATGGATTTTTCAATCTGAGTAATACCTGCTCTAGCGATTCGTTTTGCACCGAATTGGGCGATAATTTAATTTCTCTTTGTTTTCAGTAAAAGTCTGGGTATATCGCACACGTCAAATAATTCATGTACTTCCAAAATTTCTGTGACGCACTCGGTCATTCGGTATTATATAAAAGTCGGTGAAATATCGACAAGCAGTGTTTTTATATATTTTTAACGATACATAAATGTCGAACTAATCCATGTTTCGATAATTTCCACAAATTGTATTTCGAGTATTACAAAATTGAAGCATTGTACGGTACTATATGAAAATATAACGTTAAATAATGCAATATTAAGCTTCTCATTTAAGGTACGGGATAGGTTTGTTATTTAAGGAAAATAGGTTTATACAAAGCTTCACAAATCTAATGAAAATGCAAATCATATTTATAAATGGAATTATCATATTCAGGAACAATATTTAATTCAATTCCGTCTTTATTCAGTGAGAAAAATAGCTTTATTTGATTTAATAACCTGAAAAATAGATTTATCTTTTTTACCATTAAAACATTTTCTTCAGTTTAAAAGCGTACATTGAGTTTCTTTAAAAGAAACTTTGTTACATAGTCACAGAAACTTTAAAATTCAATGGAACGTACGTGGTAGAGAGGTTGATTCAATAGAATCAACTTTTCCGAGAAATCCTATGTTATACGAATACATATAACTATCATGATTTCGATAAAAGTAATATATAATTGATAAGATCGATATGAATTTAATACTGCATTCTAATCAATATGTTTGATGTTATTCTTGTTCATGTATAGGAAAATGCTGACGGCATGACAGGCAAAATATAGTATTTGTTATAACGGGTGCTGACAAAGAACTGCCATTTGTGAATAGTTCGAGAGATGTGTGACATAATGGGGGCACCGTAGAGAAAAACCGAAATTATCGACACCCTCTGCATTGTGTCAATATTTTTCCTTCTTGCCCACTTGTTCTTCGTCCATATACTCTTTTTTTCGTAGCGAAATGATTTCGCGAACGCAATTCCTTTTTTACCGTCCGGCGATTTAACTCCACGAATTCGATATTCCATCGGCCGCGCTGTCGTGGATTTAATTGAGCACAAGGGGTTTCGATATTCGTCGAATGCAATATGCAATCGAGCGACCTATCCAATCAAATCCTCGTATGCTGTCGGCTGCACTCCGATGCGGCGACAGACTCTTGATAAGTTTTGTACGCTGCTCCTTCATTCTTGCGTCGTGATTTCTTTTCGCATTGTCATATACTCACCTCGAATTTAACGTCGCATGTGTATGTCTTGAATTTTATACGTATATGTAGGTTTTATTTGATATTCTAATTTTATTCGCGACAAATAGTTTCGCAATTATCTGCAAAACTTCTACAAATTAAATAAATTTAAAAAGATGGATAACTATAATATTTATTATAACATTGTCATTTCATTATCAACTTTGAAATTGGCAGAAATTTAAAAAACGCGTATTGAACCAATTTTATCTTATCCATTTAAATTACGTTAAATACAGAGTTAAATTAGAAATAGTACAAACAAATAACAGTTATAAAAAAGGTTATAATATGAAAAATCATAGTCAATTGTAAGATTATCCAAGCGCATTATTGTATATTAATTATTAATTTAACATCATGCTATTCATTTTTCAATCATTACTTTGAAGATATGCTTATAAATGCACATAACTGATGCAAATATCGCAAGTTCGCTTCTCGATACGCGGAATGTCAGAAAATGGAAATCTGTTTTGCGCAAATTTCATTAATTTTCTTCTCACACGGTTATTCGCGCTATCCAACGATGCTTATGCGGAAAGAGAACGGGAACGGGAACGCGAGCAGAGACAGATCTGGGCGGGATGAAAAGAATTGTCGACGGTACTTAAGATATCACTGCGATGGACCGGTTGTCTCCCAAAGGGAAATGCATTTGCGCGCGGGCCACGCGCAAGCGAGTACTCCCGAAGTCGCCGTGGAACGGCTTGACAAAGACAAATAATGCGCGGTGCTCGCAGATGCATCCCATTCATGCAAATTTTTATGAAATTTTCATGAAGCGGATGCGATACTACGCGCGAAGTTCGAGCGATGTCAAGCATGGCTTGCCCTTGAAGTACCGATATGCTACGCTAATCCGATGCCGCTTAAGCGATTATACGTAGTTGCAAGCACCACCTGAAGCATTTTCGAAAACGCCATTTGTCCCTGTCATAAGTTTACCGATGTGCATATATACATATGCATGTTTGTTGCCACGGATATCCGCTTAGCTTCCGCAATAATCAAGATTGACGATTTGCTCGGTACATTTCGCGGTTAAATAAAGAATGGGAGTTTGGGATATATTGGCTGATTTAAAATATTGCCAAGAGAGTGTGGACACGGTGCACAAAGATTAATTCCTTTATTTATAATATCAAATTTTAAAAACGTTTTAAAATTTGATATAATAAATAAAGGAATTAACCTTTGTGCATGCACCGTCAACAGCGCTTGGCTCTTACTTAGCCCGTTCCACACTCTCTCTGATTGTTACCAGAGCCTTTACAGTCTTTACACGGATTGAAATATTGCATTTTCAATGGGAAGATGTCACAACTGCAAACTTCTCATTCTTTAATTAGATATATCACAAACACTCTCAAGTACTCGATCATTTGACTATGGCAGAATGACCCAAATCTTCCCACTGAACCGTTTGATCATTTTCTCTTTCTTTTATTAATTGCGCAGTTTTTCATTTTTTTTTTTTTTGAAAAAAGAAAATTGCTAAATGTTTATCAGAAGAAGCACATGGTTGTAGTCATATGCTTATGAAAAAAATTTTTCTTTCTCTGAATAATTTTCTTTTTATAATTATTTTAAAAAATTCTAAATATTGTATAATTCTTTATCTTAACGTAATATGTATTCTCTCGAATTCTTTACGGTTGAAAAATTACGTAAGTGCATCCAAGCAGCATTCAAAATAAATTATATATCCGTCTTCAAATCTACAGAGAAAACATCTTCCAATTGCAGAAGTGAGCAATTCATCACTCTATTGTTGTGCGTACGAACAATCTCGTCAGCCGCACTGCAGCCAGCGCGCGCGTTTTTCGCGTTGTCTGGATTTTTCCAGAAGTCCAGACAGGTCAATTCGTCGCCCATATAAAACGAGC